AGTGCGCCACCGGGCCGGCCCTCGCCGAATGATTTCAAAAATAATTTTTCATAATATTTCCCAAAGTTATTAATAACAGAAATTTACCAATTGACAGCATGTTCTTTCATCACTCCCTTTTACGTATATCTGTCCTTTGGAAGATATTAAAGTGAGACTTTAAATATGTGAGAACTAGAAAGGAAAAATATTCAAAAACGTAGAAATTTTATAAGGATAATAATCCAACATATGAAGAGCCAGATCTCAAAATGAACTCATTTTAAGACAAATTTTAAGATAAGTATGTTTAACTGCAGATTTCCCTTAAAACAAGAAAAAGAAAAGAGAAGAGATACTGACATGCCACGTGACAAACTTAGAGAGCAGTTACGAAGAACAGAAGAGCTGTGCAGTGAAGACGCTGCAGTGAGACCACGACTCGAAGTGACTCTGAGGACACGAGATGCGGAACTGAGGGCTGCCAGCGACAGTGTGAATGAGGTAAATTAATCTGTGATAAAAAATTTTTATTGTTAATTTTGTTTCCTCAGTATTACTTATATCATTTGTTTATTTTGATGTATATATTACTTAAGTTTAAAATAAACCAAAAATATTATCTTATCCTAAAAATGGTCTGTGACTATTTATTGTAAATTATTTATTGCAAAATTATGTACTATTATAAATCTTGGCATCTAATAGATGCTCAGTATATGTTTTCTGAATGAAGTAATGAAAAGTAAGTTGAATTCAATCAGTAACGTAAATGCTGATTTAGGTATTTTTATGTTAAAATACGTATTTTAACTAACTAAATAGCTAAATAACTTTGAAAGTATAATGAAACTAGTTAAATGTTTTGTAAAGAAACTTTATTTCACAATACTCTGCTTTTTTTTGAGCACTGTTTTTACTCTCACAAATTTAGGTGTCATTTATGCCATTAAAATTTGAGTAACCCATGTGAGGTCAAAGTCCTTGTGCTTTAATAGGCTATTTCCTTTCAACAGTTTTTTT